CGAAGAGAGATACAACGCTATAGTCACTCACCTAGTCCCAATGACCAAGAGGTCGAGATGGGGACTAGGGAGCGCCTAGGGGGGGTCCTTATATACTAGAGGGGCTGCTTAGCAACCAAGGACAAGGCGCGAGAGCGAGGCAGTGAAGATGACAAAGGGAGAACAAAGGGCGAGAAAGAAAAGGTAAGGGCATGGCGATCACGGGAACGTAGCATGCGGCTGTGGGAACATATCTACAGTGTCCAAACTGGGATGAGCTAGGAAAGGAAACGGTCCGGAAATGGAAGGTGGGCGTCAAAGGGAAGGGAACGGGCGGCAAAAAGGGGCGTCTGTCCAACGTCCGTGACAGGGAGGAGGGTACTCCCCTCCACCAAATATTTGTCAAATATTTAGCCTCAGCGCTACATAGCGCTACGTACGGAGGAACATGATCGTGTCATCCGTCCAAATATTTCAGAGCCTCATGAAATATTTGAGCAGATTTCGCCAGTTGAGAAGCGCCACGCGTAATCGAAAAATACCATACAAATATCTCAGCGAGATATTTGGAGAATATTTGGTCCCCTTCTCGCGCACGTCGTGGCCTACCTCAGTCTTGAGATATATTTGTTGTGCGGAACATATACTTACAGCTCCCTGACACAAGTCTACAATAATCGCGAGAGCAGGCACGGTCTCCCGCGGGACTGAGTCGTGCAAAGCGAAAGTATATACGTACTGTCCATCCCCTCCCTGTGCACGTCCCCCTGCCCTCTCCCAGCCTCGACCCGTCTCCTGACGTTGATATATCGCAGAGTGCTGATGGTCCATGTGAGCAGGCGCTATATGAATAATGTGATTGCGGTGCTGGGCCAAAATCGTGGACGTGGACCCTGCGCCCGTGTACGAGATGCAGAGGCCCACCAGCGAGGTCTGCCGTATGATATCAAGGTTTCGCACCTGTACGGAACGTGAGGTGAGCTCGCCGCAAGCGGGGAAATCAGAACGAGCTAGAACACGCACGACCCAATCTTCCAACATCTGCCACTGCATGCTGGCGCGGCTGCGCGCTCCGTCGTTGATGACCGTCTCCATATACCGCAGCGACGGCATGGAGCTCTTCATCCACCCCAGAAACACCTCCGAGACCATGTGCGAGTGCATGACGGAGAGCACGACCGGGTTCACCTTCTCCATGAGCAGGAGTGTCTTGAGGTCATTCTGGGACCCTGACCTCGCACCAATCGGGTACTGTAGTTGCAGCCGCCGCACTTGCAAGGGGAACAGCGGGATAGGGGCGCTCGTCTCAAGATAGTCTAGCTCCGGCCAGCAGACCACTGGCCCCGTCTCCTACTTGACGGAGAACTCCATGTGGAACGTGAGGCGGCGGAGGTTGGGGAATGCGCGGGCGAGCTCGGATATCTTCGCAATGCGACCGCCGATGTCGAGCGTGTGCACGTCCGGCCAGACATGTCAGTCGATGACGCTCTCAAGCATGTAGCCGCACTCCCAGAGCCGGATGTGCCGCAGCGACTCGACGTACCGTCTGAACGGCGTCACGTCACCCTGCGGCCGCGGGCCGTCCTTCCACAGCCCGTTTTCGATGACCTGCAGCTTGCCCTGGAGCTGCGAGATCGCCTTGAGTCAGGTGTTGCCGATGTAGTACAACGAGAGCACCTTCAGCCGGTCGAGCTTCGTGATGGCCTCGTAAACAGCCGGATGCGACTGGAAGAGGGGCTCCGCGTCGCGTATGTGAAGGACGCGGAGGTTCACTGCAGTGAACAGGCCTTTGGCGACAAGGCCGGCAGGAGAGAAGTCTGCGCCCCATCCAGACCGTCCGCCAGAGCTAGCGGAGCGGGCGAACACGCCGTCGAGCAGATGCAGCGCGCGTAGGGCCTTGGCGAACTCTGGCTTGTTGAGCATGAACTGGCAGAATTTCGTGAGACCGTCGGGGCCGTCATCGACACCGGGGTCACCGATGGAAACGTCTGAGACGATGTGGGGCATGGCAAAGCCAGAGGCAGCCTTGCATGTCAGCGCGAGTTGGAGCGCATCGTCGACAGGGCAGGAGTTGATGATTGCACGGAGGACGTCGTGAGGAACGGAGCGGGTGGATGCGTATCCGATACTCACCTGTCACGCTTGCTCAGTGGGTGTCTTCCCTGCCTCCCCTTCCATCGCGCTCTCAGCTTCATCACTCCTGCGTTAACCAGGCGGCCAGGGCATCAGAGGGCGATCGTAGGTGGAGCGAGAGACCGAGACAGATGAGAAGTCGTTTGGGGGGGAACGCGGTCCTGTTGAGGGGAATAGGGGTGCGACGCGTCAAGTTGTTGATCAGCGGAGGGGTTGGGACGACCTAGGATGGGTCCATGCCCCGAGGGATCTGTGCTGGGATGCAGGTACCGTTCTGAGGGGGGTCGCGGGCGAGATGGCATTCCCAGGGTGGGGCGATGGGGTAGGGATGGTGGTGCATCGACTTGTCGGGGATGTTGTGTGGAGG